AAACCCCAAAAAATTGATTTGAGCTCATATTTGGATGCTAGACTTGGTAAACATGCCAAAACAAATGGCAACCAAAATAGAAATTACAATGCAAAAGTATGACGGTAAAACTAAACCTTCCCTAAAACAAAAATAATCAAAATTTGAGAGCCTAAACGATAAAATTAATTAAAAAATACAAAGTTTTGACTGTTGAGTGTGTTTTCAAGATAACAATGAACAGTCATTTATTATTTTGCTACTCTATGATCCAATTGAGCCAAACAGGCCAAGGCCACTTGGTCTACATCATACCATACAAAACACAAATAGGATATTAAGGGGTTGTTTGGAGTGTCCTAAATAAGTATATTTTTTGTCTTTTTGGACTAAAAAATTGAGGAAGAAAATATAGATGTTTGGATTAACTTTTTGACTTTTTATGGAAAAATGTGTAATAAAAAATTTTAAAAATTGATTTGTAGGAGAAAATTAGGATTGAGAGTTGTGCAGCCGTAATTGTTGACTTTTGGTGAATACTGTTAACTTTTTAACTTTTTGAGTAACTTTTTAGCTTTTTGACTTTTCCTGGACATACCAAACTTAGCCTAAAATGATAATTTATACTCTAGACAATAGCAATTTGAATTTTTTTTAAAATTATAATAGGAATATGAAGCAATTTCAAATTAATATTAAAAAAAAAAAGCTTGCTCTATGTCTAGTGTTTATTTGTAAAAAGTGTAAAAATAAAAAAATATTTGAGTGTCATGACACTCCCCCCCATATCAATATGATTTTATCATTTCAGCTGTAAAACATTTGTTTTTTAATTTTTTATTTTACGTCAAATAAAGACAATTGACACTTGTGAAGCACCTATATGGATACAAATATAGGTACCAGTACAATACAAATATGTTGATACAGTAAAATATATAAAATAAAATAATGTACGGGTGCAAGTACATCTTAGGCTTTGTAGTCTATAAAAATATTTATTTTTAATTTAGAGTAATATAAAAATTAGTTAAACGATTTAATTTGTCAAGATTCAACCTACAATTCACATTTAATGCAGAAAGTAAAATATAAGCCAAAATTGATTGTCATTATATTAAATAATTTACAAACCATAACTTAATTTTAAAATTATACTAATGAATCTAATTTTACTTTTGTATTATAAGAAAATATCGTTTCAAATAAGGTACAACTTGAGTATATATTAAATATAAAAACAAAGAAAAAAAAATTTGGATATGTATTTCACGTAAACCGGTATATATGCAAAAGTTTTATACAAAATATCATAACGTGATAAGTATCCAATATAGGTATAATATGTTTGTCGAACTTTCCATACTTTATAGATTGACATTGACCGTGTAATTTCTCAACGAAATTGTTGAAGAAAAATTGTATGTTCACTCAAATTTTCTTTTTCTTCTGCAAATAATTAAAAACCAGTATTGTTTTATCATTTTATAATTGTGATTTGTAGATTTTTAAAAAATAGGTTATTGACCAGGACCTATGCTTTTTTTTTTTTTTGGATGAATGGGACCTATGCTTCGCTTGCATACAATACGTGTGTATTTGTTTCAAATCGTTTTAGGAGTTGGGTTGGTGTATGTTTTCGCTAGATTGGCCAGAATTCTTGATAAGTTTGTGTACCTGTCATTGATGTTGGCATGATTCATTTTTTTTAATTTTTTTTGATCGGTAAATTTTTATTTATTTATTTATTTATTTGGATTATAACAATAAAAAAATAAATAAAGAAACAATCAATAAACTTTATTGATTAGCATGACTCGATGAGACAGCAAAATTGGGTTATTTTCTATTTTCTAGTTTCTACTTTGTCCTCAGATAATCTCACTTTCTAGGAAAATTCTACGGTGTGTGGGCTCTTTAGGGGTCGTATCGTATGCACATCCCAAAAAGTTGAAAAAAAGAAAAAAAGAAAAAAAAAACTTTCAATGACAGAATTTTAAAATTTTTACTAATAAATATATACATTTTTCATAACTGGGTATTCGGTGTATTAGAATTACTAATTTGGAAGACCAGTCCTACCTTTCACTAGTTGGAGGCACAATTAAAGCTAGGATAATTAAAGCCCCGTAGGAACTAGTCTCAAGAAAGTGCTTAACCTAGGAGATTCTAAATCCAAAATATTGGGGGAACACATCCATCGTACTTTAGTTCTTGACCACCAAGCGAACCCCTTTAGAGCAAAATAATTTCATATTTATGCAAATTTTGATCTTCATTATTAAATCTCAAATTTTGTCACTAAAAATATAACAATAACACATTTGATAACTAAGATATATTGTCCTTAAATTTTTGTATCCAAAACTTTAATTTGATGTAATTTAATTTGTCGATCAGACTCACTTTTAAAAAAATCGTGTTCATTCATGTATTTTGTATTCATTTTTGTAATCAAGTTTTATAGGGCTATTTACACTAAGATCTCCTAAACTATTAAAAAGTATTATTTTGACTTTTAAATTATAAAATCCTATAAATAGACTCCCTAAACTATTAAAAAGTATCACTTTATCCTAATTTGTGCATTTTTATAATTTAGGGACCTTTATACATTTTTATAGTTTTAAAGGATAAAATGATACTTTTCAATAATTTATAAAATCTATTTGTATATTTCTAAATTGTAGGAGTTAAAGTGATATTTTTTAATAATTTATGAACTTTTATACAAATAACCCATTTTATATTGTTAAATTTATTTTTAATTAAATGGAGGTGTCGGCCATTATGGGTATTTCTGCCATGTCTTAGTGTGAGATCGTGGTTTTGTAGGACAATGGGGATTGGAAGAGAAGAACGGTTGTTGTGTTTTCATGGTGTGGGGTAGGGAAAAAATAGGTGACAGAGACCAGAGAGAAAAAGAGAGAGGAACAATTATTGTGACGTTATCAATTATTGTGACGTTACATACCGGCAAAAGGTAGGAGAAAGTGTTTGTCTTCTGTCCCCCTTATCAATTATTGTGACGTTACATTTTTACTCCCATATCACTTATTTTAGTTTTTCATATTTAAATTGTGTTATATTTATCGTATAAAAAAATTTTAGGGTATGTTTGGTTTGCATTTAGGAGATGAGTTTTAGAAAAAGATTTCTAAAAAATTGTTTGGTTTGAGTTTTTTTTTTTAAATTTTCAAAATCACTTTCTCTCTCTTATATATCAATCAATTATTTTTTCTCTCTCCTCTTTCTTTCTCAATCACTTTTTCTCTCACACACATCTACTCAAATTCTCCCAAAATATCAAATCATCCCAAACTCTCAAAAAACAACTCTCCCAAAATATACAACTAAACAAACCAAAAAAAATTCTAAACTCTCTCCGCAAAAATTGTTTCAAAAATAACTCTCCCAAAAACAAACCAAACAAGCCCTTAGTTTTTAATGTATTTTGTATTTTAATTTGGTTCTCAATATATAATATATATATATATATATATTAGTATCACATCTATTAATGGAGTTAGATTGAAGAATTTGATGACTAAATTGAAATACTTTTTACATGTTGGAAATGAGATTGACGCAAGTTAAATATTGGAGACTAAATTAAAATAATTTTATATATTGAGAAACTAAATTAACACAATTCAAATATTATAAACTAAAATTACACAGGACCCATACTTTTTATTTTTATTCTTATTTGATACAAAAATGAAGATTTAATGGGCAGAAAGAAACTCATCAAAATAAATTACCCAACATATTATAATAGAGTCGTGCCAAATTATATGGGGAAAGTATCATTTAAGTGGAAGGTAGAAAAATAATAGCATATTAATGAAAAATTTTAGAACATTAAAAAATAATTGGGTAAAAAGTATTTTACTCCCTTGCGTTTGATATGAAGCATTTTAACTACCCCTATAATTTGAATATATGCAGATATCTCCTCCGTAATTTTGAACTATTGTGCAACTATAACACAGTTAACAATAAATGTTAAAAAGACTAATTTATCCTTACATAAAAAGGCTATTCTTTCTCTCTCTTCTCTAATACATATAATTTTTTTATATTATTCACATATTTAACAAAATTAACTTAAACACCCTAATCTATTATCATAAAATTAAGGCTTTGTTTGTCATAATTTAAAAAATTTAAAAAGTCATTATCCTATTTAAGTCACATCACCTCTCTTCCAGATCACTTCGAACTCAACCCATATTTCATAAAAAGTCAAAAAATACACTTATTTAGATCATCCAAAACTACCCGTAAATCACAAGTGGAAAGGAATATTATCCATTGCTGAGCGGAGGAGCAGGTTATATGGACAATTTCAAGTTAAAAGTTGGGGATGGCAATAGTTTCAAATTTTGGACTGACAGATGGTGTGCAAACACATGTTTAAAAGAAGAATTCCCAGGTTTATATAGGTTGTCTGTGGAAAAGGAGGAAACTTTGAGAATGATATATGAGAAAAAAAGACATCTCAGGAGTATGGATTCTTCAGTTTAGAAGTTCACTTTATGAATGGGAGGCTTTGGAGGTCACAAGACTCTATAGTCTCTTGTTGGCTGCACCTGCAATTAGTAGTGAACTTGATAGAGCTTGGTGGGAAGCCACATCCTCATCTCCTGGTTTGTTCACTGTGTCTTCTACCTATAAGGCTGAAGAGGATTGTCTTGTTCCTAAACTCAGAACAAGCAGACTTGTGTACCACACCTCTCGTTTGTTTGGATGGAAAAAGTAACAGTTGCAAATTAGTTCAAAACCACAAGGGAGATGTCTATATATATTCAAATCGCAGGAAGTAATGTACAACAATCTAAAATCACATAGAATAAAGTGCTTTTTATCCAAAATAATTTTATAAGTTTTTTCATCAAATTGTAATTATTTTTATCAGTTACCCGGACATGTTATTTCCCCAATAATATATTATATATTTCCTCTGTTTGTTGAGAACAATATAGATAAATTAAAAAAATGGTATTATTGATACTAACCTGCTTGAGAAAGCACCCAATTGTCATCCTGTGAGACTTGCCACACAACATAACCCAGCAAATTCTTCTTCTTAGCATAAGCAACCTTAATCTTCACAACCTCAACATCATCAAACCCAATCCACGTCGATCCAATTGTGCAGTAATTCACTACATAAGTTGCATTGTACTGCGAAACACCTCCATGTGTCTGAATATATCCCTTGATATCCTTATAACTCATCGCCCCATCTTCAATATTAGTAGCCGGCCCCTTCGCCGGAGCACCAATTGCACTGTCTTTTGGATTCACAAGTGCCCATGCATAGCCATAGAAAGGCAAGCCCAAAACAAGCTTGTTTGCCGATAATCCTTTGTTAATCCATGAATTAATACCAAAATCTGTGCTTTTTTCACTCCCAGGATCATATAAAGCTGCTTGAGCACCTGTTTGATTGGACCTTTTTGGCGTGTAATAGTCAAATGCCATGACATGTACCCAATTCAAGTTCTTGTTTATAGATTCAATTGGAAAAGTTCCACTAGCTACATATGGAGTGTACTGAGCAGCCATTGTTAAGATAAGCTGAATCGACCCATTTGAGTTTCTTGACTCGGATTCAATCACAACACGCCATTCGTCGAATAGGATTGCCAGGTTGGCTATTTCAGAATCTGTACCGACTGAAATCCAAGAAAAGTCTATGCCATGAAACCCATATGATCTTGCTGTTTTTATTGAGGAGTCAATGAATGATTTCCTGTAAGAAGAATGGCTGACCATTGAGGAGTAATATGAACCATTGGCTAATCCTCCGCCGATTGATAAGAGGGTTTTGATTGATGGGTTTTTTTGTTTGACAATGTTGGTGAAGTTGGAGAAGAGCTGGCTGTCCGAGGAAGAGATGGAGAGTTCGTATGTGGAAGAGTTGAGGCCTGCGAAAGCACATATGAGGTGAGTGAAGAGAGATGAGTTTATGTCGGAGATGGGGAATCCGCTGCCGGAGAACCAGTACCCAGCTTGGATCCATGGTTGTTCTTGTGCAGTTGAAGATGGAAGTTTAGAAAGGAGGAAGATGAGGAAGAAGAGGGCGGTGGTGATAATAGTCAACGCCATTGAAGAAGTGGTAGCGAGCTGATGTTTTACAAAGTATGTATGTAGATAATGCGTGTGTATTTAATAAGAGCATCTCCAACGGTAGTAGGCATTTTATCTATATAAATATTACTATAAAGTATATATTTTATTTTACCTATCAACTGTTTTATGTTTTTACTCCAACCATGCTATTTATTTTAGCTATTAATCTAAATACTATTAATTTTATAGAATGCCACGTCAACAACAAAGATGGAGGGAAATGATCCTAATGATTGAATACATTTTGCCTAATGTTGAAGGCTAGCTACATGTAGCTAGTGAATATAAGTTGAGCCAAAATGCCTAATCATATGCCTAGTGCGTTGGAATTGAAAAAAGTAAATCACACTAGGCATTTTAACTAACAAGTATTATATGCCTAGTGCATTGGAGATGCTCAGAACGAGTCCGGATCCTCTCTAGCTCTCTCGCCGGTTGTTTTTTTTGGAGACGGTTCAAATAGAGTCACGTCATTCACAAAGAAATGGATGGTTTAGATTTATTTATTTAAACAAATAAATAAATAAATAAACACACACCCGTTGACATACGCACTCTCTTTCTGTCCCTTTTTCACTGACATACTCTCTCTCTATCACATTTTTAATAAAAAATTAAAATCACACACTCTCTCACATTTCTAATAAAAAATAAAAAAATTATTTTAATCTTTTTCATTTTATTTTCATAATATATATATATATATATATATAATTTTTAATATAAAATTATAATTTTTATAAAATTAGGCCAAGTTTGGCATATTGCAAAAAGTCAAAAAGTTACTCAAAAAATTAAAAAGTTAACATTATTCACCAAAAGTCAACAATTACGGCTGCACAACTCTCAATTCTAATTTTCCTCTACAAATCAATTTTTATAATTTTTTATTATACATTTTTCTATAAAAAATCAAAAAGTTAACCAAAATATTCATATTTTTTCCTTCAACTTTTTAGTTCAAAAATATAAAAAATACACTTATTTAAGATATCTCAAACAACCCCTTAACTAAATTTCAAGAGGTGTTATTCTAATTTACCCTTAATTTAATTTGAATTTTTCCCACCAAGTCATGCATCTACCACTCGGCCCCCACATTGAAATTTTAAAATTTTAAAAATAAAAAATTTAAACTCTTTTGCCACAGGTTGTGATTTTCATCTATATGCTTTGCTGGAGAAAAAGGTTGCTTATCATTGCCATAAAAAGAAGCTAATAGTTGTCTTTTAACTTCTTTGGACCCGTACCAACTTATTTCAAAATAGGCCTCGTTTGGGTTTATTTCATCAAATTAATTTTTATATTTAAAAAATAATAATTTGAAAACATAACTAAACATCGTAATTACTTTTTATTTATTTTAAAATTTTATTAAATATATCTAATATTAGTCTCATTTTAAAGGTATATTTTCAATGATATTAATATTATAAAATTAAAATTTTATATTAAAAATTATATATATATATATATTATGAAAATAAAATGAAAAAAAGATTAAAATAATTTTTAAAATTTTTTATTAGAAATGAGAGAGAGAGAGAGAGAGAGAGTGAGTGTGTGTGGGGGGTAGGATGTGACCTGTGACGTGTGCATGCAGTGAGGGAGATAGAGGAGTGTCAGAGAAAAGGTAATGATTCAGTATGGGTGTGTTTTGAAATTTTTTTGTTTAAAGAAACAAATCTAAGTCATTCATTTCCTTGCAGGATGCCGTGGCTTTATCTAAGTCGTCCCCCGTAAGAATAGCCGAAAAAAGTGGTTGGAGAGGATCTGGACTCAGTACTAGCTAGCTTTTGGTGTTTTATTTTTCTTTTACTCTTTTAAAATGTCAAAGGAATATTTATATTTATACTTGCAAATATATATGCATTTTGTATTATAATCATTATACGTGAAATTGAGAGGATCAAAGTTCAAAATTCAATGCCCATATTTTCCATATTGTCTCTTTCCTTATGTTCACATTCTGTGTTGTAGTTTTAACGGTTTCAAACACGTTGTCTTGAAAGTTCCTCAGATGACCAATCATGAGGGACAGATATAAGAAAGAATGAAACCTATATAGATTATCATTTGCCCCTAATGACGTACATCTTTCCAAATCATTGCTTAGTAACAACAAAAGTAAGCCTATCTCAACACAATTTAAAATTCTTGACTATACAAAATAGATACAACAAAATAGAAGTTCTTGCTCCTAATCTCTCCAAGCTACTGCCTTGGCGGAGGCATATCACTGGTACCTGAAAATGATTTTTCCCAAATATGGTGAGCCAAAACCTGGTAGAAACAATCTAACACGATATATGAACTTTAACAAAGTTATAAACATGATGCACATGACTAATGCTCGAAGATAAAATCATTTATAACTCTTTTTCCAAAACCATAATATGCCAAGTATTATACCCCAATTCATTTTATATCAAATTGTTTCATGTCATTTCATATCTCCTCAATTCATGAGTCTTACCCATTGTTATCCAGACAACCCAACTGAGACTACAACTCAGTGGTTTTCTTACCACACAACCATTACACACATACACTTCAATTTGCCATTTTACGAAAATTTCGTCCGCGGGATTGGCACCCATGTATACGCGCGGTTTTTGGGACTTGCAGATAGGACACACATGCCAACTTAATTTAATAGAGTCCATCCCCCTTCTCATTCCAAACATAGAGTACATCTCTTTTCTCCTTCCAAATATTATACATATATAATGTATTAAAACACAGTCATATTTAATGACAACCAATAAGGAATTAGTTTCAATTTACCTAATCCTCATGCAATTTTTACAACAATCATAGTTATCCTCCACCGATAGCCCAAAACAGATATTTTCAAACAGATAAATTACCCAAATTTCCATAGGTGAGAGATAACATGTATCTAACTACACCGTTTATATAAATATCTCTCTAATTTCACATTTCTTGTACAATTTCTATTATTTATACAAAATAATTATTCAAAGCATTTTAGGGCAAAACTCCATTTTTTCCAATCTCATCATAAATACCAAAAATCAACCATTTCAATATAACCCAAGGCCATATCCATTTCCATAATCATTTCCAAGATATCCATTTGAAAACCCCTGTTTAGAATTTAAACCCCCTTTTTTTTTTTTTGGGTGAATAAGACATAAATTAAAGACGAAAAATATACAAAACTATAAGGGGCATGAAGTCATGCCCTAACCACCACTATACAGAAGAGACCTAGCACTATAGGCCAAAAGACACAAGCAATACAACAACAGCAAACTAAGAGCTAGAAGAGCCACGGCTATAACTAAAAAAATAACAAAGACGACTAAAACAAAATATAGACGCAGATTCTAAAACTGAAATGTGTTCATGGGCCCCATACAAACTATATGTGGACCATGAACACACTAATAAGCTCAGAAATCTGATGCAACAGTAAACGTAAAACTCCCCATGCACAACCCGTATGAGTAGGCCAAAATAAATCCAAATCTTTAGAAAAACTAATTTCAAAACTAACAAACTACTAATTAAAAAAAAGACAAACTTCACACTTGAGGCGCCTACGGCAACCATCACTCCAAGTTGTTGGCTTCCAATGATCAACAGATAAAACGGCCAGGCTTACATCCCAGCAGCAACCCATCAATCAAAAGAACTTCTAGCAGCTATCTTTTGAAGCAAATACCTTCACACAGCAAAGAACTTCTTCCATGATGATAAGCCCATCCCCATAGAAAGGAACCATATGACAATAACTCAATAGAACCTGCCAGAATCCATTTGTTCGTAAGTAATACTGCGAGCACTTGATCCAGCAATAACCTGACCAGCAACAAAATCCAGCTACCAACTTTGTTTCAGCAGTCTTCACACAAACAAAAAAACCATTGATTCTCATATGCCTCTGGGCCTTCCTCTATGAAAATAAAACTTTGATATATACCGTAGAAGAAGGCCTCTTGGTAGGAGTTCAGTAGAACCTGCAAAGTGGAACTCAAATGATTACAACCAAATGAAGGAGAATATCCATACTTCGGTAACAAGAAAATAAAACCCATATTATAGAACCTCACTTCAGTCAACCCACAATTTAGGAACTCACACCACTCAAGTAAAGTTTCCTTAGCCTGTAAATAAAATTGTACTATATATATAAACATTAGCAAAATCAAATATGAGGCCTGAAGTCACTCAACCCACTAGTAACCAACTAAACAATATATTCCTCACATCACTCAACTCTCAACTAGAATCCATGAAGCTCCGCGACTACTGCAAAATGAGCAAACCATTAGGAAACATAGTTTTGCTCTCCATCACTCAACCCTCATATAGTGAACTCACATCACTCAGCAGCCCTCCCATTCCTGAAGGATTGGGGCTTCAAAACTGTCTCAGGTAAGTTCCATTGAGATAGTAACTAGTTATCACTTGTTGATCTAGATAAATTATTAACAGACAAGAATCTACCTCTAACCATGTGAATAATAGATTTGATAATAACCTCTTCAGTTGAATTCTTCATTGAATATTCTATTATTCCTTTCAAGCCAGATATGGTAAACCGAGCACATTAAGGCCAGCTTAAGGACATTGGATCTCAGAGTTTTGCCCTTAGTCTTTCTTGTGGCATAGATAACAATCTCAGGCCATTGGAGAGTCGGCCAGTTAACATTACATTTATCTTGAATAGCATGCCAAATTCTAGAAGAGAAAACACAGGTGAAAAAGAGATGAGAGTGACTTTCAGTAGGGTACTGACAAAAGGGACACATAGAGGTCAGAACCAAACCAAATGAAGACAATCTATCACCAGTATTTAGCCTTTCCTGAATAGTAATCCAGACAATAAAACTAACTCTAGGAATCCTATGAGGTCCCCAGACAAACTCATGCCAAACCACTTTTGCAAATTTGCTTCTCCAATGATTCCATGCTGAATTGATAGTGAACTCACCAGCAGAAGTGAGAGTCCAGCTAATAATATCATTCCTAGAAGGATCAGGTCTACAACTCTCAGGAGTAGAAGAGATCCACTCCTGAATTTCCCAAGAGTTAGGGAAGGGCCAATTCCAAGAATCACCAGTAACAATTTGACTAACTTTAGTCTCCCTGTTAAGACCAGAGTCATACAGGATTCTATCCCCATACTTTTCCCAGAGAGGGCCAAGAGGGTGCCAATTATCATACTAAAGGAAAGCAGATTCACCTTTGCCAATCTTGTGAAGAATAAGAGGAGAGACAATATTCCTAAGAGACAAAAGCTTCCTTCAAACCCAAGAAGCGTCACTAGGAATTTTAACTTGCCAAAAACTTTTTCCCCTGAGTAAGTACGATTTAACCCATTGACACCATATAGATTGCTCACCCCTAGAAAACAAAAACCAAATATGTTTAGCAATAGCAGCCCTATTCCAAATTTCAAGGGATTTAAACCCCAAACCACCCTCATTTTTAGGAGCACACACTTTGTCCCAAGCAACCTTGGTGCTATGTTTCTTGAGCTTAGTGTCGGACCAAAGGAAAGCCCTGAGGATACTCTCAATCTCCTTAACCACCTTCTTAGGAAGGATGAAAAGAGAAGACCAATAAACTTGCATGGAAAAGAGAGTGGTTTATATAAGCTGGCCTTTACCAGCATAGGAAATGACTCTATTAGTCCAACTCTTAATCCTCTTTGTAATCCTATCAGTGAGTTGGTGACAGTTAGCGGCTCTTAATTTGGTAGTAATGAGAGGAACACCAAGGTATTTAACAAGAAGGGTCCTTTCACTAAATTTAGCAACCCTAAGAATGGATTCTCTTAACTCATTACCGCAGCTAGAAAAGTAGATGTTACTCTTGCTGGAGCTAGGAGTGAGGCCAGAGAGACTCCTAAATTCATCAAGGCCAGCCCTAATCAATTCAACAGTGGGAACATCACCTCTACAAAATATCATAAGATCATCAGCAAAACAAAGGTTAACAATTTTAGTTTTATCACATCTCCAATGAAACTTGAAAAGCAAAAGATGAGACTTTTCAGCAAAAACCCTAGCAAGAATTTCCATGGCTAAGACAAAAAGATAAGGGGACATGGGATCACCTTGTCTAAGACCTCTAGCACCTTTAAAATAGCCATGCAGGCTACCATTGATACAAATAGAGAATGAACGGCTAGTAATGCAAGCTTGAATCCAAGACACCATAATAGGGGGAAAGCCCATAGCTATAAGAATATCAATGATAAACTCCCATCTCACACTATCATACGCTTTCATAATGTCTACTTTCATGGCACACCTAGGAGTAGGAGACTCTCTATGGTACCCTCTCATAATCTCTTGGGACAAGAAAATATTATCAGAGATTTTCCTACCAGACACAAATGCAGACTGAACAGGATCAATTAGTTCAGGGAGAACTTTTTTAATCCTATTAGCAATGATTTTCGCAATGCATTTATAAATGGTGTTACAGCAGGAAATACGCCTATACTCCCCAACTTTCATAGGATTCGAAACCTTGGGAATAAGGGCAATGATGGTGCTATTAACTTCAGAGAGAAGCTTACCAGATTCAAAGAATGTTCTAATAGCTTGAGTGACCTCTCTTTCCACAATATCCCAAGAACTCTTAAAGAAGCCAGCAGAAAACCCATCAGGGCCAGGGGCCTTATTAGGTTTAAGGGACCAAAAAACATCCTTAATCTCCTTATCAGACACAGGACTAGCAGGCATCAAAGGCTGGTCATGAGATAGCTTAGATTTCACAAGAGAATTGATCCTAGCAAAGCCATTATAGTGGTCATCAAAAGGGTTGCCAAACAAGCCAGAAAAGAAACTTGTGAAGGCATCTTGAATATCCTCAGGCTTGGTAGTTCTAATCCCATATGCTTCTCAATACAGAGAATTTTACCCCTATTAATGTTACCTTTAATGGATTTGAAAAAGAATTTGCTATTTTAATCCCTTAAACCAAGCCATTGGATCCTAGACTTTTGGCGAGCCAAGCTTTCTTCAACAGCACTAAGATCCACATACTATTTATAGAGATTCCTTTCAAGTTTTTGTAAGATAGGATTGCCAGGATCCTTGTCCAATTTCCATTGTAGTAGCCAGGACTCTACTGGAGACATCACTAAACTCCTTTTTGTTCAATGCTTTAAGAATAGGCTTCAAGTCTCGAAGTTTTTGACAAACTCTAAGCATGGGGACCCCTTGAATATATTGATTCCACACCTCAGACACAACAGGAATAAAGTTTTCATGTTGAGCCCAAAAATCAAAAAATTTAAATGGTTTCTTAAAAGAGACCACTTCAGCAGAGATAGTGACCACAGCCGGAGAGTGATCAGAGACACAAGAAGGAAAAAAAAAATAGGCAGAAGAGGCTGGGAATGAGTCAAGCCACGACTCATTAACCAGAACGCTATCAATTTTAGTGGCAATATAGTCCCCACTGTCTCTTTTGTTAGCCCAAGTGAATTGGCAACCACCATAGGACAGATCCACCAATTTCAATTGGAGAATATGAGAATTGAAAACCTCTTTGTCAATAAACCAAACAGAAGAGCCACCAAATTTCTCAAAACCATACCGAATAGCATTAAAATCCCCTAACAGAACAAGAGAGACTTTGGACAGCGAAAGGGAGTTCCTAACCATGTATTAAAAAAAAATCCTTTCTAACAACATGTCTATTATCAGTATACACAAAACAGGCTTTAAAAGCAATGTCTTTGGAAAGGTCAGTGATTTCAGAAAAAATGAACAGATCAGAAGAATCAATCAACTTGACTGAACAAAAAACTAAGTCCCAACACACACAAATTCTCCCAGTTTGAGTAGGTTGTGAGTTTGTCAAAAAAGACCAGTTATTTAAATAAGAAGATAAAATGTGATTTTCATTTGTAGCTTTTATTTTGGTCTCCAAAATGCCCAAGACTTTTATATCTTCACGACTCAAAATTTTTTGAACTTCTTTATGTCTTGAAGGGTCATTAAACCCTTTGACATTCCAGGATGCAATTTTAAAAGTCATTGGAAACAACAAAAAATTGACTAACCCATAACCAGACTAAATTGGGACTTACCTGTGTTTCTTCCTCTGGCTCTTGTAGCCCTTGCCAGAGGAGTTACCTTTTGTAGAGGTGGCTTGTTTGACCTGTTGTTTTGTTGGATCACTTTTCTTTGGTGTGGTGCCCATCAAATTTTCCACTTTCATAATGAGTTCTGCATTGTTTGGTAGAGCCAGTTTTGTAATCTCCACCAATTCCTTCTGTAGATCATCAAACCCTTCAATGTTGGGAACTGAAGACTCCCCAACAGTTTCTCTATTTTCAACTTCCATGATCTCATCAGCTAGACTCTTTTCAGCCACACCCAAGGATGGTTTAGGTGGATGGCTTTGCCCAGCTTCATGACTCACTCGATCAACCCCTGCTTGTACTTCTGGTGGCTTGGGATCCAAGACAGGTTCCCCCACTTTTCTTTTGCCATTTGCTTTCACAATATTCCAACCTGGATCAGAGTTGTCATCAGTTTTCTTTTGGAGGGAAATCAATTGGGCTACTTGTGTCTTAACACACTTAGTTGTGTCATGACCAAAAGCTACACAGTGGTCACATTTTGGAGGGAGACCTTGATATTCCACCTTAACAATCCCTTTTTCTCCCTCACAATTGACTTTGAACATAGATGGAAGTGTGGTGATAGCATCAACTTCTACATAAACTCTAGCAAAGGAGACCCTGCTACCCTTCTCTGGCCCAGTATTCAAAAGGGACATTAAAAAATTTAGCCCACATTGGAATTTTTGTTGCTTTTTCCTTGGCCAATCTCATTATCCTAGTCTACTTCTTGAGGAATAAATTGAAACCCCCAATATACCATGGCCCCCTATTCAAGGACAGAACTACAGCATTCAGGGTATTCAAAAATAAAGAAACTAAATCCCTCATTGTTGACCTGAACTTCTTTCAAGCCCTTGCTCTTCCACAAGCTGAAAGCACTATTTCGTAAATAGTTGTACGACACTCCCTTGTCCAGAAAGTATCCAACTAAACAAGAATCCCATTTTTCTAAGGGGTTAGGTCTAGGGGGTAAATCCACACTAACATAACCCTCAGAATTTAAACCCAAACCCTAGGTTTGTTAAAAATCACCTCAAAACCCAATATTACTCACACATCAAGAAATAACCAAGTTAAAACTCATACAGAGTGTAGAAAGTCCCTACCTCAAGCTTAGAAGACCAATGCAACAATGGAGGAACTTCAAAGATGCCGAAACCAACTTCTACTTGGATCAAAATGGAGCTCTTGAGATGCTCTTCCTTTTTAACAATGGCACACAGGTAGAGAGATCACTAGATCTAGGTGGCAATGTAGAGAGAAGGGGAGTTTTAGGGAGAGAGAGAGAGAGAGAGAGAGTCCTGATCTAAGGTTTTTGAGAGAAAAGAAATGAAAAAGTGGGCTGCTGCGAACTGATATACGCACAGCCTGCTCGAGTGCAACAGTTAACGTTCAAGCATCAGATACAATAAGTTGTTCTGCTCGAGTGCAAGAAATGACCGCTTGAGCGCAAAGTACACACATTCAGTAGTTTTGCAGATGACTGACCATCACTCAAGTGCAAGAAGTGCCGCTCGAGCGTAGAGTACACTCTCCCAGTAGTTTTGCAGACCTGCAAAAGTACTGAGAGTTTGCAAAGCCTGCTCGAGCACAAGAAGTGCCGCTTGAGCGGAAGAGTAAAAATCTGAGCAACAAAAGTTTGAAAACTAAGCAACCAACATGTTCCAAACATGCTCCAACCAACTCAATAATCAAACTCAAGCAAGAATAAATGGGAAAGGTCATGAACAACATTTGGAAACCATAAAACCCGAGCTCTAAAATATCAAATGGATCGGGTCAAAATCGGAATCGTTATAAACTGTGTAGCAGTTTTTTCTCTAATTAATTTTTTTTTGAGTCTCATTCTATTTTAGTAAAGCAATGTTATTGATAATCAGTGTAGTACTGCTAGACTAATTTTTTCCATTATTCACATTATGGGATGTGAAATGCTCTATGAAAAAAAAGAGGACTTACGTGCAGGTCCTAATAAGTAGACTTATTCTCCAATAGGTTTGGTAATAATTAGCGACATTTTTATAAAAACAAAAATCACTAATTGTTAGTTTTTTATAGCAGTTTGAACAATTTGTTATAGAAAAATGTCACTAATTGTAATTTTTTAGCGACAAATTTAGAATAAGGTAAATTACCAGGAGGTTTTAATAATTGGACTTTATTCCTATTATCAGTTCATGTCTAAAAGTTGGTCTTATCAAAATTGTCGCTAAAAAATATATACTTTGTAACGATTTTTGAATATTTCTCTAAAAACAAACAATTAGTGATGTTATTTGTGACGATTTTCTAAATGTCACTAAAAAGTAAAAATTAACAACCTTTTTAATAGAGCATTTCACACCCCATAATGTGAATAATGGAAAAAAAAAAATTAGTCCAGCAGTATTACACTGATTATCAATAATAATATTGTGTTACTAAAATAGAATGAGACCCAAAAAAAAAAAAAAAAATAGAGAAAAAACTATCACTCAGATTCCTAATCTTGAATGTTTAGTTATATGAAGAATTTTCAAAACAATGTGGTTGAAGCGTTAAAATTAGGAATTATTGACAATACAGAGTGTGAACATAGGAAGAGAAATTGCAATGAAGAAGAGAGCGAAGCAAGGTGGACAACAAGGAGGATGGGCTTCGATGGTAAGCCAAAGAGGAAGACAAGGAGAATAGAGAAATGAAGGTCCGATAGCGAAGGTGGACAACAAGTGTAGACACCCAATTTGACTAACCTTAAGCCTTAGACGCTTGCTTCCAAACACCTGATGATGAAAGTGGGAATATGTTATCTTACTAATGCATTAGTAGGAAAGCCGGGTTCAAGTTTTAATCTTGAACCTTACACTTATTTTGGCCAAACTATCGAAGTGTTAGAAATGAGTGGGAATGAGGACAATTCTTTGGAAAAACCCAATTTCCCATTCCAAACAATATGGTCGTACACATTTTGGTCTAGCAGTACAATTTTCCATTTGGCTAGATGAAAGATGGTTGGTCAGATGAAAAGTGGTTAGCTAGCTGAAAAGTGTGTCGGCCGAATGATTTGTCCAGGAAACAGAGCATTTTCGGGAAAATTGGATTCTTGAACAAGCTTCAGACAAATATCTCAGATATTTCTCTCAAAAAGTCTATAAATATAGTCACCTCCCCTCCCCCAGTTTAAGGGTTGAGAAAATTCTTGAAGGCATAGAGAGCAAACCCAAGTGCCTTGTTCCTCACACCTTCATCTTCTCAACTTTTCCCCTCAAACTTCATACATACACCACCCAAAACACCATTCAAGCTTGATTTTAAGGCTTCTTGCTATGTGTGTAAGCCATATCCAAAGACCTTGAAAGGTAAGAGTTGGAACTTTTCTCATCTCTTTCTCTCTTCTTTTTGTTCTTTTCTATAGTTTTCTTTATTGTTCTAAACATGTGATCCTCTTTGGAATGTGGATAGCTTAGCGACCCCCCATAGAGTTATAGTATTTTTTTCCTCTTTGTTTCCATGTAATCCTATTAGGTTTAGGATGTGGATGGCTCAACCACCCGCCTCTATAGAATTGTTAGATTGTAGTGTTTTCTCTTTATTTCTATGTGTTTTTTGTTTTGGGATGTGGATGGTTCAGCCACTTCCCAATAGAATTTTGAAATAATGTAATCTCTTTACTTTCATGCATTTTTCTTACTCTTTTTCATCATCCAAGTGTTTTGGTTCATGTGATCCAACCCATACTCAATCCTAATGAGTATTTGTGATTGTTTCATAGAATCCTTTGGATGATCCTGTGTTATTTTTCTCTTTCTTTCCTTTTTCTTTGATGCTATAAGGGCTACCTCGTCGAAAAGTGTTGAAAACTCTCTTCTCAACCAACTTTGAACATGGGAATGGATTTTATATCTATATTCCATGACTAAAGAAGATGAGTCTTCAACTATTTTTGACGAGTTATATGTATTTTCTTATACTTCCTCTATATTATCTTAGAAGCCTTATAGAGCTTTCATTAGCTTTATGAGGCTTCCTTTTAGAAATGGTGGTAATCTACTTTCTCTAATTAATAGCATGGATTTGGGTATTAATTTACCCTTATTCACAAAGAGATGAATGCAATTTTCCATCTATTTATCTGGCTTGTATTTCTTTTAGCTTCATTCCTATACATGTTAGTTTCTGTCCATTTGATAGCTCTTGTACATATTGTATACCATCTCTTGTTGTTAGTTGATGGATGGGCCTATTTACATCTTCCTTGAATATCTTTATGATATGAAGGAGTAGAAAGGATGAGCATCTATTGGAAATGTTTTGTTTATTCTGTTTTGTCTTTATTGCACAAAATAGGATTTTCCAGATCTACTATACGGTCAGCCAGAAAAAAAGGTTCGGCTAGACATTCTTTCATCCAGCCAGACTATTTATTTGGCCTGCCAGAATACATTTTTAGGCAAAACAGAGTAGAACAGAGCAATTTCTAGCGGATGATCTCTTGGGCATGCACAATTCATGTCATAGTTTTTCTTTCTGTTTTTTTATGATTTGTTAGATTCAACTTCTATTGGATGAATCAATTCATTGATGTAATAACTTCTAACCCCACTTCTTTCTATTTATTCATTGATGTAATAACTTCTAACCCCACATCTTTTATTCCTTTCATGGTAAAGGATTGTTGTAATAACCTCAAATGTCTATTTCTTTTTATCCATAATTTCAAAATACAACTCAAAACTCAAAACTCAAAACTCAAAACTCAAAACTCAAAACAAAACAATTTTTTTCTTTTTAAAAATCATTTCAAAAACTTATCTTTTACAACACAAGTCAAAATTCAAATATCATTTTAAAAACTAAACCAAACTGAAGTTTGTCTATTTGCATTGCTTCAATATTTGATATAAAGCATTCTGCTTTCTCCATTCTTCAAATTGTGGGCTGTCAAATGCTTTATAATTTTTTTTTGATAATTATATTCAAATAATTTTATGATATTCATTTAGAGCAAAATTCATTTTATTTCCCTATAGTATGGCTTAATGTAGACACCCCATCCTATCTTTTAAAAATAGCCATATGCCGCCCAATTTGAAATTAGACTAAAATACATCCGTCGGCACCGTTAACTATAAATGTGAAAGGACTATAATACCCTCTGTAGACACCCCATTTTTTACTAGCCTTAAGACTTGGGCACGCGGGCGCTGTTACACTTAATAGCATTTTACCCTCCTATCTTTTAAAAATAGTCATATGCCGCCCAATTTGAAATTAGACTAAAATACATCCGTCGGCACCGTTAACTATAAATGTGAAAGGACTATAATACCCTCTGTAGACACCCCATTTTTTACTAGCCTTAAGACTTGGGCACTACTGATTGTTTACTTGGTGATGAAAGGTGTGTAGTGCAGAGGTTCGATTTCTTCGGCAAGGAGAGAGTCAAATCCCAACCCTACACCCCCATTTTGGGCCAAAACTATTTTAACCAAAAATATTTTAGACCTTAAAACCCTCTCTTTCAAAACATTTTTGAAAAAGTTCCTACGATGTTTCGAGGCTCGCATTTCGTTAAATGTTGCGCTTTTCGATAAACCGAGCAAGGACAAAGTGGAAATAAATAAAAGAGAGGTGAGATCTTTGCAAAAATCTTAAAAACATCTTGTATAAAGGTTTG